GTCCATCAACTTACAAATGGATAAGCAAAATATGGCATATCCACATTTATTATCAGAATATTATTCAGTCATGAAAAGGAATGAAGTACTGATACATACTACAACTTGAATGAACCTTGAAAACATATGCTAAGTGCAAAAATTCACACACAAAAGGCCACATGTTTTATGATTCCATTTCTATGAAATTCCCAGAATAGAAAAATCCACAGAGCGGAAAGAAGATTAGTAGTTGCCAGGGGCTAGGGGAAGGGAGGAATCGGGAGTTATTGCTAAGAGGTACAGGATTTCTTTTGGAGGTGATGAAAATATTCTGGAATTGGATAGTGGTAATGGTTCACTAAATATGAATATACTGAATATACTAAAACCACCAAGTTGTGTACTTTAAAATGGCGAATTTTGTGGTATGTAAATTATATCTCCAAAAATAAAAGAGAGAAAGAAGCATGGATATTCACTCCTGGGCAGAAATAGGACTGAGTCCTAATCAAGGAACTTTCAACATTTTCCCAGCTGGATTTCAGAATTGCTATGGACCAGTGACTCCTGTGTGCCTCTCATTCACCTCCCCCTCCTCACCCCTTTTAAACATAATGGTTCTTCTATAATGGTTCTTCCACCATTGTATTTTGGGTACATGAGGGGAAGATAACTTGTGTCTTTAGTTCATGACTATTCAGATTGAGAGGAGTGATACTTAAGGAGGTGTTGTTTGTTTGTTTGTTTGTTTGTTTGTTTGTTTGTTTTTGAGGCAAGAGTCTTGCTGTGTTGCCCAGGCTAGAGTGCTGTGGCATCAGCCTAGCTCACGACAACCTCAAACTCCTGGGCTTGAGCTATCCTCCTGCCTCAGCCTCCCAAGTAGCTGGGACTACAGGGGTGCACCATTACACCTGGCTAATTTTTTCTATTTTCAGTTGCCTGGCTAATTGCTCTCTCATTTTTAGTAGAGATGGGGTCTCGCTCTTGCTGAGGCTGGTCTTGAATTCTTGACCTCAAGCGATCCTCCCACCTCAGCCTCCCAGAGTGCTAGGACTATAGGTGTGAGCCACCACGCCTGGCCACTTAAGGAGTTAAAGAATCTCATCCATATGAACCTAACTTATGGTGTATTAGTTTGTTCAGGCTTCCATAATAAAATACCACAGTGGGGCTTAAACAACAGAAATTTATTTTCTCACAGTTCTGAAGAATAGAAAGAAGTCCAAGATCAAGGTGTCCATAGTTTTGCTTTCTTCTGAGTCCTCTCTCCTTGGCTTGCAATGGCCACCACCTTCTTGCTGTGTGTTTGCATGGTCTTTCTTCTGTGTGCACATGTTCCTGGTGTTTCTCTGTGTGTCCTAAACTCCTCTTCTTATAAGGACAACAGTTAGATTGGATTAAGCTCCACTCTAGTGACCTCATTTTAATTTAACCATGTCTTTAAAGACCCTATCTCCAAATACAGTCACATTCTGAGCTACTGGGGGTTAGGACTTCTACATACAAATTTGGTGTGGGAAACACAATTCAGCCCATAACAAATGGCAAGATTCGGAACTTTGAGCTGATTAATGCTACAATAGGATGAGACTTCAGGCCGTGGGAGAGGAGAGTATGTTTTGCACATGGAAAGATTGTAAATAACTTCTGACCAGAGGGGACTACAGTGGTTATAAAATATATCCACAAATTCTTGATATTCCTCTCCTGAAGAAGTGAAATTTAATTTCCTTCCCCTTAGGTGTGGAATGGACTTGGTGACTTGCTTTCAACAAATAGAATATGGTGGAAGTAACAATGTATTTTTTCCAAGACTAGGTCATAAAAGTCATTGGAGCTTCCTCCTCATTGCTCTCTCTTAGATAACTCACTCTGGGGGGAATTAGTTGTAAACACTCAAGCAGCCCATGAACAGGCCCATGGGGCAAAGAATGGAGGCTTCCTGCCAACAGTCATGAGTGAACCATATTGAAAGTAAATCTTCCAGACTCAGTCAAGCCTTCAGATGACTGCGGCTCCAGCTAACAATCTTGACTGTAACCTCATGAGACACCCTGAGCAAGACCCATTCAGATCCAGCAATCCCACTAGTGGGTATATAGCCAAAGGAAATGAAATCAGTATACTCAAGAGATATCTTTACCCCCATGTTTATTACAGCACTGTCCACAATAGCTAAGATTTGGATTCAACCTAAATGGCCATCAATGGATGGATAAAGAAAACGCAGTATATAAATATAATAGAGTACTATTCAGCCTTAAAAAGGGAGGAAATCCTGTCATTTGCAACAATATGAATGAACCTGGAGGATGTGCTATTACATAAAAGAAGCCAGGCACAGAAAGACAAATACTGTGCGATCTCACTTATATGGGGAATCTAAAAAAGTTGAACTCATAGAAACAAAGAGTAAAATGGTGGTTGCCAGGGCTGGGGGTTGGGGGAGGGCTGGGGAGATAATGATCAAAGGATACAAAATTTCAGTTAGACAGAAGGATTTCAGTTAGACAGAAGGAGTAAGTTCAAGAGATCTGTTGTTCAACATGGTAACTATAGTTAATAGCAATGTGTTATATTTTGAAAAAACGCTAAGAGAGTAGATTTTAGGTATTCTAACTACAAAAAATAATAAGTCCGTGAGGTAATGCATATGTTAATTACCTCAGTTTAGCCATTTCATAATGTATACATATTTCAAAACATCAGGTTGTACATGGTAAATATATACAATTTTTGTCAATTAAAAATAAAATAGGCCAGGTACGGTGGCTCGCACCTGTAATCCTAGCACTCTGGGAGGCAGAGGAGGGAGGACTGCTTGAAGCCAGGAGTTTGAAACCAACCTAAGCTACAGTGAGACCTTGTCTCTACTAAAAATAGAAAAAATTAGCCAGGTGTGGTGGTGCATGCTTGTAGTCCCAGCTACTTGGTAGGCTGAGGCTTGAACCCAGGAGTTTGAGATTCCTGTGAGCTAGACTGACGCCACAGCACTCTAGCCCAGGTTGCAGAGTGAGACTGTATAAAAAACAAAAAAAAAATTTTTTTTAAAAAGAACCAGTCATAGGTAAGACTGACCAAGCTAAAAAAAAAAAAGAACCAGTCAGCTAAGCTGCTTCCAGATTCCTGACCCTCAGATACTATGTGAGATAATATAATAAATATTTATTATTATTATTATTATTATTATTTTGAGACACAGTCTCACTCTGTTGCCCAGGCTAGAGTGAGTGCTGTGGCGTCAATCTAGCTCGCAACAACCTCAAACTCCCCGGCTCAGGCGTCCTCCTGCCTCAACCTCCAGAGCAGCTGGGACTACAGGCATGTGTCGCCATGCCCGGCTAATTTTTTCTATATGTCTTTTTAGTTGGCCAGTTAATTTCTTTCTATTTTTAGTAGAGACAGGGTCTCCCTCTTGCTCAGGCTGGTCTCGAACTCCTGACCTGGAGCAATCCACCTGCCTTGGCCTCCCAGAGTGCTAGGATTACAGGTGTGAGACACCTCGCCCAGCCTATTATTTTAAGCCACCAATTTTGGGATAATTTGTTATGCAGCAATAAACAACTAATACACTAGTGTTTTTCAAAGGGGCAAATTATATATAAACTGGGAGAGTGGCTTCCTTTATATCAGCGGTCATGACATCCCTTTCATGACGTCTCTTTATTTGGTGTCTCTTCCCCCAGGATGACTAATTCATTAAGTTCTCCGATAAATCCTTATTAGCTATGGGGAGGGAGGATCGAAAGGGGGTACAGAGTAGAGATTGTGGAATGTCTGTTCCACCTAATTTTCAAGCCCCTGTATTTGGTTATTTGCTCAGAATCTTCACTTGGAATTTCACAACTGCTCAGGGATGGTAAGAATAAGAATCTCAAAAGGGACCCAGCGGGATGCAGTGGCTCACGCCTGTAATCCCTGCTCTTTGGGAGGCCAAGGTAGGAGGATCACTTGAGCCCATGAGTTCAGGGTTTCAGTGAGCTGTGATCACACTCCAGCCTGGGCAACAGAGCAAGACTCTGACTCTAAAAATAAATGAAGGGGAAAATAAATCATATATATTAAGTTGGACCTTATCGAGTTGCCAACATTTAACTGCTAAAACAGCACATCGTATGGTTCAGCCTAATACATTTAACATATGTGATCCACTCAAAATTTGTCCCTGCACTCCTGTACTAGGTGGTATCACAGTTCCATCTGAAGGGATAGGTGTGACTGAGGTCAGTCAGGGATGCTCTCCCGAGAGGCTGGTCTCTCTGGGCAAGACGCACAAAGCCAGATGGGTGTCACCAGCCCTGCCCAAGCCGACTGCTGCATGTCTTCATGAAACTGGGTTTATAACCCCCACGTGTAATTTGGTTTTTGGTCTTAGGACTTAACCCCTTGGAAATGCAGAGGACTGGGAAATAAAGATAACATAAAATAAATAAAAGAGAAAAAAAGGACTTAACCCTAATGTGTTCCTTTCTTGTCATGCTTTAGTCCTGCTGTCCCAGGGTGGAGGGTGTGGGAGACTCGGTGGAGAGCTATAGCAGCCAGGGTGGAGCGGGGTTTCCAGAGCACAGTGCCCTGTGAGTTCTCGGTCATCTGAGCTGGACTCAGAGGGTGGGGTCGCTGCCCAGGACACACATGGGCCTGACCCCTCCCCCTGCAGTACAGCCACGGCCCTATTGTGCTCTGACTGGTTAACCTGCCTCTTCCCCTGGGGCCATTTGGCTTTTTAATCCTTCACTATGAATAAGCCAACAAGCTCAGGAGTGTTATCTCCCTCCCAATCAGCTTTCCTTCCCCCTACTCACTAAGGAGCAAATGTTGGGACAGAGCTAGCAAAGACAGGCTTAGCTGTCAGGAGGTGTTTGCTGTTGTCCAGGACGCTGTGGTAGAGTTCGGGCAGGTTTAGGGACCAAGGGGTGCCAAAAGGCTCCTAGGCAGAAAGAACCCAAAAACAAATTTGTTCTTTTTCCCTTCCTCTCCCTCCTCCCCCAGCTTGCCTCAACAACTCCAGACACAACAAAGAAAAGACAGATCATTTATTCCATGTCACCCAAGCTATAAATAAGGAAGAGGAGTGCCAAGCTGGTCCAAGATCCTCCCTTTCTCATTCCTTGCAGTGATGAGGACCAGCCTATCCAAGGGCTGAGGGGAAGGATGAGGAGAGGAATTCAAATGAAAGCACAGAACCTGTTGCCAGGAGTTCAGAAAAGGTTATGGATGTGCATATTTTTGCTCATGACCCCAGGACTTCCTCCTCCTGGCTGAGAGAGGAGTCCGTGATAGTTTCATCGCTCAGATATCCTTCTATGGAGATGGCTGTGCTGCTGCAGGACACGGCGCCAGAGGAATGGCTCAGAGCCAGACTCCGGAAACTTTTATGGTTGAAGGTGCAAAGGACCGCTGGGAAAGCACAGGTGACAGGAGAGAGGAGAGTTGAGATTGGGAGGGAAAGTGACAAGCAGGGTGAGGCCAAAGGGAAGATAAGACCCTAAACACCTATCCCTGGGGATTGCCAGCCCCTTCCCTCCACGCTTACCCTGCCCTCACCCTCCACCCCTGTCCCTTCTTTCCCTCAGGGCCCTCTGGGCCACTCACCGCAGGTGACATACAGGACAAATACCAACCAACCGATGAAATAGCTCCAGCCCATGGGGATTGACAGGTTCCCCTCCAACTCGAAGATCCAGAGGTTAATGGGGAACAACAAGAGGCTGGAGAAAATGCAGGTGGCTGGGAGACAAGAAGCAGAGAGGTCTTATCTAAGAATCCCACGGGGGGGGCTCTTCCTTATCTGCTGTGATACAGCCACAAACCACAGCTCCCGTCACCACACACAGAGCACCCAGCCCCAGAGGTCCACCGGGGTCTACTCCTCCACCTCCATCCACCTCGCCAGTGACCAGGACATGGTGCAACCCCACTCTCAGTTCTGTTCTCCCACCACCCACAAGGCCCCAACGCCACCCCCAAACAAGAGGGAGGAGTGCCCAGGAAGATGAGGGTTGGGAGAACTAAGGACCTGTTCCAGAGCTAGGGGGCACCTTCGCAGACGCTCAAGATGGTCCCAATCAAGCCAAAGGAGGGCAATTTCTCAATACCGGACAGGTATGGCAGGTGCAACCAGAAGGTGAGGACAAAGCCCAGCACCACGGTCAGGTCGAAGCTTAACTTGGCCACCTTAAAGAGAGGCCGATTTGGCCACAGCTTTAAATTTTCTGCAGAAAATGACAAAACAGGATGCACTGAGGCTTCATAAAAGACAAAATATAATTGAATGAGCAAGTACAAGAAAATGTCCGGGTGCATTAATGACCAAAGAAACACACATGTGAGATAACTATGAAATATTGCTTTCACTTGTTAAATAAGCCAAGATTCTTTTTTGTTTGTTTCAATCTCTTTAACTTGTTTCATGAAGTTCTTTTGATTTATTACCTAAATATATTCTAACATAATTTAAACCTGTCTCTGCCATAGTTATAATTAAAATGCTTCAAATTGCAGTCCAAATATATTCACTTTGTTCAGCATAATACAAACCCCTCTTACTGTGTTTTTTTTTTTTAAGTGTTCTTTTTTTTTTTTTTTTTTTTTTTTTGGAGACAGAGTCTCTTCCTTTGTTTGCTGGCTTAGAGTGAGTTGCCATGGGCGTCAGCCTAGCTCACAGCAAACCTCCAATCTCCTGGGCTCAAGCAACTCTTGCTTTGCCCTCCAAGCCTTCCCGAGTAGCTGGGACTTACAAGGCATGCGTTGCCCAATGCCCGGGCTAATTTTTTTATATATTATATATATCAGTTGGCCAATTTAAATTTCTTTTCTACTTATAAGTATAGCACGGGGTCCTCGCTCCTTGCCTCAGGCTGTTTTGAAACTCCCCTGGGACCTTTGAAGCCAAGTCCGCCCGCCTCGGCCTTCCAAAAGAGCTAAGGAATGTGACCAGGCGTGAGCCACCGCGCTGGCTTTGTGTTTTTTTTTTTATAGTGTTCTTTCTTTTTTTTTTTTTTTCAAGGCAAGATCTTGAAATATGTTAAAAAGGTTTTTTTATATAATTCTTCAAACCAATGAAAAAACAACTTACGCCATAAGAAAAAATGGGCAGAGGACTTAAACTGTAATTCTCAAAAGAAGAAATACAAATGTCCAATCAACATATGAAGCTCAAAACAAAAACTGAAGCAAATTAACATGGTGATTTTTGTTAAAAAATCTATCAAATTATAATAGCAAAGATCAAAATAAAATCAACAATACCTAGTTAAGGACAGTAGTTACAGAAAAAAGGTGCCTCTCATCACACTCGCTTGGTGGGAGCATTTCCCTCGTGAATGTCCCTTGGCACAAAATACAAAAAAAAAAAAAAAAATCTTAATTGTTAAGGCCCTTTGACCTAGCAATGCTTCTTGGAATTTATGTTAAGGAAATAATCAGAGATCTGCACCAAAATCTACATACAGGGATCTTCCTTGCAGAGATATTAATATGTCCAATAAGCTCCTGGATTTTTTCAAGAAGAATTTTAAAATATAGTATAACTAATACATTGGGTATGATGTTTCACTTAAAAATGGTGATATAGCCAGGAGCAGTGGCTCACACCTGTAATCTCAGCACTTTGGGAGGCCAAGGCAAGAAGAATTACTTTAGGCCAGGAGTTTGGAGACCAGAGCCTGACCATAGTGAGCCTTGTCTATTAAAGGAAAAATTGATTGAGGCCGCGCGGTGGCCTTCAAGCCCTGTGAATCCTAGCAACTCTGGGAGGCCGGCAGTGGTTGCTCGAGTCAGGAAGTTCGAACCACCGATGCAGGCAGAGCGAGACCCCATCTTCTAGCTTAAATAGGAAAGAATAATCTGACCAACCAAGTATAGTAGAAAACATTAGCTGGCCATAGTTGGCCACATGCCTCTAGTCCCAGCTTACTTGGGAGGCTGATGCCGCAGGCATCTTGCCTTGAGCAGGAGTTCTGAGGTTGCTGTGTTGAGCTAGACTGATGCACGGCAACTCACTTCTAGCCTGGGCACAACGTGAGACTCTGTTAAAAAAAAAAAAAATTTGATGATATAATAGATAGTTGTCTTCAAATATACTGTCTCTGGGAGGAAACATAAGAAATTGGGGGGAGGGTCAGCGCGCAGTGGTTTTCAGCTCCTGTAATCCTGCCACTTCCTGGAGGCCGAGGCGGGAGGATCACTCAAGTGTCAGGAGTTGCGAAACCAGCCTGAGCAAGAGCAAGACCCGGTGCTTTCTACTAAAAATAGAAAGAAATTAATCTTGGAAACAACTTAAAATAATAGGTAGAAAAAATTAAGCCGGGCATGGTGGCGCATGCCTGTAGTCCCAGCTACTGGGGAGGCTGAGGCAGGAGGATTGCTTGAGCCCGAGAGTTTGAGGTTGCTGTGAGCTAGGCTGATGCCACAGCACTCTAGCCCAGGCAACAGAGTGAGACTCTGTCTCAAAAATAAAAAAAAGAAAAGAAACTGGGGAGGGAGACTGGAAGCCGGAGGTAAGAGATTCACTTTACTCTATGATCTTTTGTATTCTTTGAATTTTCACTCTGTTCATATACTATTTAATCAAATTAAAAAACATTTTTTTTTTGAGACAGTGGTTCACTCTGTTTCCCAGGCTAGAGTGCGGTGGCATGATCATTACAACCTCAAACTCCTGGGCTCAAGCAATTCTCTTGGCTCAGCCTCCCAAGTAGCTAAGACTAGAGGCGTGCATCACCACACCTGGCTAATTTTTTTATTTTTTGTGAAGACAGGACTCTCACTATGTTGCCCAGGCTGGTCACTAACACCTGGCCTCCAATCATCCTCCCACCTCAGCCTCCGAAAGTGCTGGGATCACAGGCGTGAGCCACAGAGTTTGACCTTAAATAAATTTTTAAAATGAGTGATGTTCTAGGATAATTATTCAATGATATGAGTCTTTTATATATATAAATATATTTTTTTTTCAAAATTACAATCATTCTACATATATTGTTTTGCAAATCCCATTTTTGAGTTGTAAGTAATACTTACAACTAAAGTAATAATACTTACAACTAAAAATGGGATTTGCGGCCGGGCGCAGTGGCTCACGCCTGTAATCCTAGCACTCTAGGAGGCCAAGGCGGACGGATTGCTCAAGGTCAGGAGTTCAAAACCAGCCTGAGCAAGAGCGAGACCTCGTCTCTACTATAAATAAGAAAGAAATTAATTGGCCAACTAATATATATAGAAAAAATTAGCTGGGCGTGGTGGCGCATGCTTGTAGTCCCAGCTACTTGGGAGACTGAGGCAGGAGGATAGCTTGAGCCCAGGAGTTTGAGGTTGCTGTGATCTAGGCTAACACCACAGCACTCTAGCCCAGGCAACCGAGTTGAGACTCTGTCTCAAGAAAAAAAAAGAAAGAAAGAAAAAGAAAAAAACTTCATGATTAACAAACTTTGTTGCTCCTTTTTTTTCAAATATAAAATTGGAAATAAATTTTCCAAGAATAGGAAAGTAAAATAGTCAAGTAAAAGATGATAAACCTATTAAGTTGAATATTATAGTCACTTATAATAAGCACATTTTATTATATTTTATGAAGATAAAAATTTAAATAAATAAATTAAATAATAAAAATACAGTCATGTGCCACATAGCAATATTTTGGTCAACAACAGACCACATATATGACAGTGATCGCCTAAGATTATAATGGAGCATACATAAAAACCTAACATAGGGCACTTGATACTATAATAGCATCACAGATCAAGTAGGGAAATGACTGATATTCAGTAAGGGGGTTGGGGCATTTGGTTTTCCATATGAAATAATATATACAAATAAAAATATATGTACCACCTAGGTTTGTGTAAGCACACTCTGTGATAGTCATGACAATGAAATCACCTGATGCCTTTCTCAGAATGTATCCTTATCATTAAGTGGTGCATGATATAACTTAAATAATAAAAAAATTGCTTATGAAGCGTGAGTACAACAATGTAAAAACCATTGTTCAATTAAAAATATAAAGCCTGGCTGTCTTTGAGTAGCACCATAGAGCAAAGTGCTTACATGAGTTTTAGAGCCAGATACACCTGAGTTATAATTCTAAACCTACCATTATTCAGTTGATCCATAGCAAATTGCTCCTTTTGTAGGTGAAAAGTAGTCAATATTGGCATTTCATGTGGTTCAACCTAATAGCTTTATGCCCTGAACAAGGTACTTATCTTTTGAGTCCTAGTTTTCTCATCTGTAAAATAAGGATAATTATCCCTATCTCTTAGGGTTGACTGAGGATTAAATTGAACAAACAGAGTCAAGTGTGCAATAAAATGATAACCTGTTTCCCTAAATTTATTATAATAAGGATGTAATACTTTCATAATGGAAAAAGATAATAGCTGTGTGACTTGTTTTCCCCACTTTCATGTTAAGGAGAGTGAAGAAATGGAGATGGGAGTCCAAAGCTCTGGTTTTCCCAGGAGCTGAGGAAGAAGGCCCCATTCTGGAGGGGCGAGGGGACAGCGTAACTTGAGACTAGCAAGAATAAGGAAAGAAGCAGCTGCAAGCATTCAGGCAAGGAAGGAACAAGGAAGCCAGACATGGAGAAAGGAAAAGTTCTTGGAAGCAGAGCTGGCCCAGGAAAGAAGAAAAGGATAGTTTCTGGGAACAGGGCCTGGAGAGAACCTTCCAGGAACTCCTCTCAAAGCTCTGGGTATAGGAGCCTAGAGCAAGGACACCCTCACCTCTATGAGGCTCTTCTCCCGGGTGAGTTCTGTAATTGATTCATGAGCGTTCCCATGTGCTAAGAGTCCACGCCTCTCACAACATTTTTATAAGCATAGACTTGGCTCTGGGTCTTATCAAAAGCAGTGACATTGGGTCAATAGAATTGATTTGGCCAGGCTACAGGAGGAAAAAATGATCCTTAGAGGTCTCAGTGCCAGTGGAGCCATCTTGCAGGCCAAAAAGTGAAGATGACCAAGGGAGAGGAAAAGAACATCCAAGGTGCAGATGGAGAGGCCAAGGCAGGCTGGAGGCCTGGGGTGGGATGGGGGTGGAAGTGCTCACCTTTCTCATTCTCTAAGTTGGGACAGTTCTTGGATCTGCAGAAGTGCAGGAGCCCCATTGACATAATAAGGGCCGAAGTATAGATTCTATTGTTGACATTTATGGGCCAGCGCTGGTAGTAGCGGCTCACAGAGAGTTGCAGCCAATTCTTAGAGAAGATCATGACCAGCAGAAGGATGAAGGCAACCAGGCTGAGTGTGGAGGCCAGCATCTGTGCTATCCAGTGGGTGCTGTGTATAATTCTCCATTGAAAGGGCAACACAGAGGCACGGCGGTAGTCTGTGGGCAGCCGCCTGTTACTGCTGGAGTAAAGGGTGAAGCCCTGCACCCCCTCTTCTTGTTCCAGCTCACTGCCATCCCATTCTGTCTTCCAGTCTTCCCGTTCCTTTCTAGGCCTCTGATGTTGGGCCCTTTCTTCTCCTGACCCAGGGAACTCACTCCTAGAGTCCCCCATACCCATCTTGGACGCTCCTGTCTTGCATTCCATCTCCCCTTTCCCTTGCCAGGCTCAACTGTCCCTCATCTTTTAAATATTTTCATCAGGTGGAGCTGTTGCCACCATAGTGCCTGGGGGCTGAGAAAGAATGAAGGGAGGCTCCTTTATTAGGCACATGAGCTCCTGGTCCAAGAGAAGGCCCCAACCTAGTCAGCAGAACAGGGCCCCTAACTGCCATGGAATATTCCTGGGGAGCAGTGAGATGGGGGAGGGGGGCCATGGCTTCCACTCTAACTCTCTCTCGAAACCCTCCTCCTTGGGTCCCAGCTCAGAATTGTGGATCTGATCCCTCCCTCCAGCTTTTGCCTCCCTTTGCCCAAAGGGATGGTCTCTGAGAGTCCCTGCTACGATTTGGATACGGTTTGTCCCCACCAAATCTCCTGTTGAAGTTTGATCCCCAGTGTGGAGGTGTTGGGAGGTGGAGCCTGGGGGGGTGTTCGGGTCTGGGGGTGGATCCCTCTGGAGCAGATTAAGGCCCTCCATCAGGCATGGGCTCTCACTCTGTTAGCCCCCACAGTGCTGGTTGTTAAAAAGAGCCTAGCATCTCCCCTGCACTTCCGGCTCCCCCTTGCCTTCAGCCAGGAGTGGAAGCAGCCTGAGGTCCTCACCAAATGCCCAGTCTTGAACTTTCCAGCCATCACAATCGTGAGCCAAATAAGTCTTTTTTCTTTATACATTACTCGGCCTCAGGTATTCTGTTATAGCAACAGAAAACACACTAAGACAGTCCCCCTTTCTCTTCCTACTTCCTCTACCCTGACCCCAACCCCAAATACTCACGGATGTGGGGTGGAGACCAGGAACTTGTCCCCAGGAAAACATCCTCCCTTCCAAAGATGTCATCAATCTTCCTGCAACTCTCCCCAAGGCCCTCCCGCCTTCCCATCTCTACTCACTTCCAGTCACCAATTCTTTCCCTCTTATTTTTACCTTTCTTTGTCCTTTCATTTCCTCTCTGAACCAGAAGGGGGAGGACATAGGATAAGAATGGGGTCTGGGGGTGTCACACAGCCTGAGATTCTTCTAACCTCCCTTTTAAGTTATAAGAAAATAAATCTGAGTCACCTATGGAAGCCGCTCATAGTGACTTCCAGATCTCAGTTAGTGCCTGCAGTTCTCATGGGGAGAAAGCCTTTCAAATTGGGATGTGAGTTCGACTCCCCCCCAGAGCTGATTTCCTTTGTGGAGACAGTGATACATGTGATTAAGAATACAGGCTTTGGCCAGGCGTGGTGGCTCACGCCTGTAGTCCTAGCACTCTGGGAGGCCGAGGCAGGCATATTGCTCAAGGTCAGGAGTTCAAAACCAGTCTGAGCAAGAGCAAGACCCTGTCTCTACTATAAATAGAAAGAAATTAATTGCCCAACTAATATATATAGAAAAAAATTAGCCAGGCGTGGTGGCGCATGCCTGTAGTCCCAGCTACTTGGGAGGCTGAGGCTGCAGGATTGCTTGAGCCCAGGAGTTTGAGGTTGCTGTGAGCTAGGCTGACGCCACGGCACTCACTCTAGCCTGGGCAACAAAGTGAGACTCTGTCTCACAAAAAAAAAAAAAAAGAATACAGGCCTTGGGGTCCAACAGACAAAGGTATGAATAATGAATCTTCCTCTTAATGGCCTTGTGAACCTGGGTGTCATTTAGTTTCTTTATGCCTCGATTTACTCATCTGTAACACGGGGACAATGGTATTTGCCTCATAGACTTGGTTTGAGTATTGAATGAGACAATGAACAAAAAGCACTCACTGGATCACAGAAAATTCCCAATAAGTGGCAATTACATTGTTAAATTATTCTAATTGTTTGTGCAGTCTTTTACTAGCAAACAGGGAAGGGATAATAACAGAAGATAATTCCTGGCAGGCATCCTTGCCTCGCAGTTGGTGGTGGCTGTGAACAATTGAACAGAACACAGAGTAGCTTAAGCAAAAGGAGGGTTAACTATGAATCCCGACGTCACATGCCACAGCTGGACTTCAGGAATGGTTGGAAATGGGGACTCAAACCCTGCGAGGGCTGTTCTCTGATTGTGTCCTCGGCCCCTCCCTGAATGTCTTGCTCCTTCTCTGCAGACCAGCGTCTCCTCTGCTCTGGTCCACACGGCGGGAAACACGACCCTCACAGCCCAAGCTGGGCATCTTACGCCTTCAGCCACCAGAGTGGAGACCTCCCAGTTCCAGGTCCAAACAGGCACTAGCCCTGCCAGGGACAAGTGCCATCCTTAGACCACACAGCCACAGTGGGGGCACTGGGCCAGGAGGCTGGACCCTGAAGATGGGAGCAGTAGGGGACAGTGTGGAAGAGGGCGTACTAGGCCTGTTGGGAATGTCATTTATGCAGAACCAGCGATCATCAAGATTGTGTTTCCTTCTTTGAATCCATTTTAGTTTTTCCTGGAGTTTCTAAGGATTTCTAATAATGACAAGCAGTTCTCACAGCAACACACAACGACATGGATGAGTCTTGGTAATATAATGCTTCCTGAAAAATATAACTCCCAGAAGATGCACTGTACATATCTTACCATCTTAATAGAGCTCATAACCAAGCACAACTAAAGAAAGCTTTGTTTAAGCTCAAATACATTTCTGATTGCAAGGTATTTTTTTTGTTGTTGCTGTTCTGTTGCCCAGCTAGAGTGCCATGGCATCAGCCTAGCTCACAGCAACCTCAAACTCCTGGGCTCAGGGGATCCTCCTGCCTACAGGCATGCGCCACCATGCCCGGCTAATTTTTCCTATATATATATTTTTTTTAGTTGTCCAATTAATTTCTATTTTTAATAGAGACGGAGGTCTCACTCTTGCTCAGGCTGGTTTCGAACTCCTGACCTTGAGCAATCCACCCGCCTCGGCCTCCCAGAGTGCTAGGATTACCGGCGACGTGAGCCACCGCGCCCAGCCTGCATGGTATTTTTTAAAAAGCAGCCAGAGGCGAAAGAATGGTACGGGAAGTGTTACCTTGGCTCATACACGTGATTGGTAATAGTCTAGTCCCTGGGTTGGGTGATGGGTACACAGATATTCATTATATTATCACCATTTACAACTAACATGGCTTTCATATAATCCTGTAAATGTATCAAATATTGTTTTTCAGAAGATAATTACAAATTGTTCAAGAAAGGAAATGTAATCTTGGTGACTACTAGCTCTGCAACAAAACATATTTATATGGTCACAAGATACAAGGTAAACACTTTTCATTGAGTTTCAACTTTTACAATCAACAGATGGACAAAGCACGGAAGACTTAATTTTAGCCCCAGAAGTAAACATAACTGGTATCAGCATTGATGTTGCCCAAGCGAAAGCCTAGAAGAGGCAAACTGGCAGGTGGAAGGAGGAGAAGGGAGCAGAAGGGAAGGGTGGCAGCCCTCCACTAACGACACAGGGACACTTGCTGGCTTCCTTGCCCTTAGGTTGGGATAACCCTGGCGCGTGTTCCACAGCGGGGGCTGGCGACGTTTTTCAGTACAGGTGGGTCCAGGTTGGGCTTTGTGAGCCACTCGGTCTCCATCACGACTTCACAATGTGGCTGTTACAGTGTGAAAGCAGCCACAGACCATAGGTAAGTGAAAAGGCGCGGCTATTCCAGTAAAACTGTTTCATGGCCCAGGACAGAGTCACCCGACCTTTCTCTGTGCTGTCACCCCAAGTTCCCAAGGGTCTGGAACTCCAGTTTCCCATGGAAGGAACTGGTTTGATGCCCTTTGTTGACTTTATTCCCTTCCCTGTCTCACTTCCTTACACCTTTACTACTGTGTCATGGGGTCACCTCCCCAGTAGCTACCTGCACTCAAATCTTTCTCTCAAGGTCTGCTTCTGGGGAAACCCAAATGAAGACAGGTGAGAGCTATTATCATCACGGTTTTTCAGAAGAGGAAACTGAGGCACAATAAGGCTAAGTCATTTGCTCAAGGTCACAGAGCCAGCATTTGAATCCAGAAAGTCTCACCCCAGAGTTCTGGATATATTCAAAGCATCCTGGAAAATCAGCAGAGTAGGGGAGGTGGTCAGAAGAGTGGGGACACCCCCAGAAGGAAAAGAATTCTCCAGAGTAGTGGGGCGGACAGAGGGAGACATGGACCTGCTCCTTGTCAGGGAATGATGATTATGGTCATCTGGGCAGATAGGAACTTGGCAGCTTCCCAAGATAGTCCCGTGGCCCAAACATGACATGGAAGCAGCAAAGAGCCACCAGACCTAAAGGGACCCCATGGATAGAAGCAACGGGCATGTCAATACGACGTGAGAGGACAGTGGGCCAGGCCCCTGGGAGTCACTCTGACACATTGTGCTCCAGCTCTAGTCAGTGGTGGGAGGGAGCAAGCTATATTTTGTTTTTCACTGTAACCTGGTGGAATGAAGGTTCTACCTTAAAAATTAAGTTGAGGCCGGGCATGGTGGCTCACGCCTGTAATCCTAGCACTCTGGGAGGCTGAGGTGGGCGGATTGCTCCAGGTCAGGAGTTCAAAACCAGCTTGAGCAAGAGCAAGACCCCGTCTCTACTATAAATAGAAAGAAATTAATTGGCCAACTAATATATATAGAAAAAAAAATTATCTGGGCATGGTGGCGCATGCCTGTCATCCCAGCTACTTGGGAGGCTGAGGCAGCAGGATCGCTTGAGCCCAGGAGTTTGAGGTTGCTGTGAGCTAGGCTGACGCCATGGCACTCACTCTAGCCTGGGCAACAAAGCAAGACTCTGTCTCAAAAAAAAAAAATTAAGTTGAATTATAAGAAATGAAACTGTTTAGTGTCTTGCACTGTTCAATGTCTTGCTAGGTTTGTGGTTTGAGATGAAATCTTCTGCAAAGGATAGAAAGATGCTATGCAGAACATGAAGGAGGATGCAGCCAGTCTCAGAAAGAAATTGGAACCACGAAGTGAACTCTCCTTCCATTGCTCCTCTATAACATCTCTGTGTCTGTTTCATTCTTCTCTGCTACTCCTAAATATTTACATTTGTTCTATTCAAAGAGCCCAGACAATGAACATTTCTTGGTTCCAGTCCCAAATTTCCAGGGAAGGACACTGATTGGCCCAGCTTGAAGAAGTTGTATATCCCACCACCAGTCAGCCATGGGCAGTGGTCACAACCATGTAGTAGAATATAGCTTCTGCGAGCCCATCCTGGGGTGGAATGCACAGTCTTCCAGGAAGAAGAGTTTGGCAGATTACCCAGCAAGTG